TTTCTTTCTTCCCCTTTCCTTTTTCTTTTTTTTTGGCGTGGGGGCGAGAAAGGGGACATGCATAGACCGGGCTGTTTTGCGGGGAGGGAGAGGAGAGAGAGAGAGAGCTTGGTGGGGATTGGGTTTGGTTGAATGAGCTGTGCTACTTGCTATGTACCTGCTTTGAATCTCGCTTGATCGTTTCGTTCCTTCTTGGACGCGTAGTGGGATCAGAGGGGTGGGGGACGGGGGGTTTTCTTTCTTTCTTTTTTTTCTTTTTTTTTTGGTCTTTTTTCTCCTTCTCTTCTCCTTCTCTTCTCCTTCTCTTCTCCTTCTCTTCTCCTTCTCTTCTCCTTCTCTTCTCCTTCTCTTCTTCGTATATCTTTTCTTACAGCTCGCTGATATCTCGGTGTTTCTTCTTTCTCATCCACGTCTTCGCGGGCATGACGAGGAGTCTCAGGGCTCAGCTCGGGTCTCTTATGCCGGACGATCTAAAAGGAAGGCGACCGCTGCTGGATAATCCGAAGGGAGGGCGTGCGGCGATGGAAAGCCACGATCACGGAGGTGGATTTCATAAAGAGGCTGCTGTTACGACGAAGAGGATTGCAAGGCGAAGTTAGTAGCGGGATAGGATATGTGCATGTGTGGATGTGTGGATATGTAGATGTGTGCCGATCAACAGGTGCCATAGTAGGCTAGCCGGCTGTAGATCGGTCCTCGACGACAATGGGAGAGAGCGAGCTCCAGCTTGATCTCCAACCAACGACCTCGTACTCTCATTCCAGCCATCCAGGTAAGCCCTTCCGCCCTCGCCCTTGTCACGTATATTAACTGCGCCAAAGCTACGGACGACAAGGGCAGAGGGATACGGAATCCGATGGTCTCGCCAGGGGAGCTGGACACACACGGCTTGCGTTTGGTTCGTGGGAGAGCCGCAAGCGCGACTCACGGGTACGAGAACAGACGAAGTCGACGACTATACTATGCCGGGCCTGAAGTTGCGGAACGGTGTCGACGAGGGCGTGGCCGTGGCGGTGATGTGTGACAGCTGTCACTAGCGCGGAAAGAGGCAGGTCGAAGAGTTTAAGGAGGGCGGACGTTGGGCGTTCGCTTCGGGGCTGGGAGGTGCTGATCTGCTGGTGGTATTGCTTTCGACGAGGAGGGGAGGCAGAGTGCGTATCCGTTACCGCTGAGTAAGTAAGTACACTCATTCACTCATTTACTTCGTATATCAGACCCAGTCGAACTTACGCGGTGACTACCTATCAGGATCGACTCTCGAACGCGATTATTCTTCAGCGTCGATGGGGAGATTAAAGCCATCTGCATAGATAAGTATGATGGGGAAAAGAAAAAAAGAAAAAAGAAACAGAAACGGAAATGCGCTAGCTATCTAATCGTCGGCTCGCTTAAGTAGGCCTCCTTACAGCCTTTCAGTCTTTGAAAGGAGGCCCACCTAAGCGAGCCGACGATTAGCAGTTACCACGCAGAACAGCACCGCGAAAAAGACGCAAGTGGGCTGGCTGGCTGGCTGGCTATAGTGTCAGAAGGGTCCGGGCGAGGCGGCGAGCTCGCGAGCTGGGTCGGGTACCTAGGCAGGCAAGGGCTACAAGGGTATTCTTTTTTCCTTCTCTTCTCGTTCTCTTCTCATTCTCATTCTCGTTCTCATTCTCGTTCTTGTACCTACCTACCTACCTACCTACCTACCTAGTATATATGTATACACAGGTGGGAGCTTCAGAGGCAGAAGAAGCAGAAGAAGCCTGGTTAGATCGACGCGAACATCGTCATCGCCGTCCACTCGCCCACGGGACAGGATGTGTCTACCGGTAGACACAAAACCCTCTAGATTGGATCGTGCGTGCGTGGTAAGGGGGGGAAATCCAGGCCTATCTACCTAGGTACCTACCTACCTACCTACCCAACCTACCTAGAGCATCCACCCCCTCCCTCTCTCCCTCCCTCTCTTCTCTCCTCCCCCATCCCCCCACCCCTCTCCCCCCTCCCCCGGATACCAACCAATCAATCACTAATCTAATCTACCTATCTATCTATCTATCTATCTGCGTGTACAGCGAGATGGAACCCAATTCCATCTTCCCGCAAGCTGCGCATACATACATACATACCTATATACACCTCCCTTTCCCTCTCCTCCCATCCCGTTTGCTCGTGACGTTTTGATACATACAGGGCACCGAATAACCCCCTTCAACCTCCCTTCTAAAAGAAAGCAGTGCGATCTCAGCAGACCTGATGGTATGCTACTCTGCTACGTCGTGTTACACGAATAACAAGGGACGATATTCAGACGTGGCGAGAATCCGTTCCGAGGAAAGTAAAAGTCGACCAAAAGAGAAACGCCTACCTTCTTTGCGGCGAGTGGAAGCCGGAGTGAGAGAGGAAACAGAAGAACGGGGCGTGAAGTGAAGATTGGGCTTTCAATTATCTCGCTTCATGTCCGCAAGGACTCAGCTTTAGCTTGGTTCAGCTCAAAAGTCCGCAGAGTCTGTCTCTCCATCACTGGACGTTTTCTGGTCCGTAATTCCTGTATCCACAGGCCTGTTCTGGCGGTTCCTTCCTCAAGTCCGTTCCGTTCCTTCGAATGCACCTCCTCATGACGCTACTACATACAACACACACACTCACACACACACACACTCACACAAGTCGATAGCGAAAGTTCCGTCCTCGACCCCTTCCATCCATTTACCCAAAAACACCAAAGACCCCAACCCCACGCCCAAATTCTATATTCAGTGAACCTGCGATCCCCTCCACAGTCCCAAGAGGCCCGGGCGGATAGAAGAAGCATATACAAGACGAGCCAAGCACACCTGGTCGTCTCAATCGCTCTCGGTGAGAGATGGGTGTCGGTCACTCGAGCGATGGTGGTATTTTATTGACACGGAAGGTCTAAAAGCTGGTCCGCTCTCTCAACACCTCTTGATGCAGGGAGAGTGAAAACGAAGGGTAGAGGTGGGACAAGGTGCCACGACCATCTGGGTCGAGGCTGGGACAGACCGACTGGGGGGCGTTGGCAGACGATTGTACCCGGATTATAATTAAATATGTATCAAGACTCCCGGCGATCCGAATCTCGTGAAGCTCTCTGACGTGGGGGGAATGAGGATTATATACAGGTCGGATGTGTCGAGAGGTCCGGAAATGTGGGAAGGCCGAGGAGCAATTAAAAGAAAGGTGGTCCCAAGTCGCTCAAATGCTAAACGCCGAGACATGAGATGCCGTAAAATCATGAGATGGAGATGTCGGCCCGGGGACGATGCCGAGTGAGGAGCTTGATTTCGTAGTTTGGGGAAGCTATCCATGGCATCATCTGACTATGATATCGTTGAGCTCCGTATCCGAAGCTTGGGATGCGAGGGTTTCGCCTTCCCATGCGCATTGGGACTCATCGACGGGGCTTCTCGAACCAGAGGAGACGGAAGAGGATGATCCTACAGTCCACTCGTCGCTACTGTCGTTGCGGAAATCGTCGTGGTCCAGGACCGAGAGACCATACTCGTATGCGCCTCCGCTCGGGGAGTCCCCCTTCTCAACGTAATCGTAGTCAAATCTCCATGCCTTGTCCATCTGGACTCGCGGCAAGAAGTTGTTTCTTGCAACATAGAATGCGATCGCGGCCATGAATCCACCCCCTACCAGATCCACAGCGTAGTGATGCGAGAGATACATGGTCGCCCACCACATCCACATGGCATATGTGATAACCAGCGGCCTGAGCTTTGGGAAGCAGTGGCTCATAAATAAGGCCTCCAACACTGCATTGCCGGAATGCAATGAAGGAAATGCTCCAAAGACTAAAGGCGATGCGGTGAAGTTCGACGTGTACATATCAAAACCGAGGAGCTTATCGATTCGTGCCAATCCGGCAGGTGATCCGGGCATCGAGTAGTCGGCGGGTGCGAGACCGTACATATTTTCGTACCATGGAGGCGAGCAGGGGAAGATGAGCTGTATTGCCACGCCGGCAATGTTCATGTATCCGAAAGTTTGCGCAAAAACAGGGAGCGTTCCGGGGGCGGAGAAGAAAAACATAAGAGCTGCCCAGAAGAACGGTCCGGCAAAGTGCAGCAATCCGTACGGTACCCAAGCCAATACATCCAGGACCACGTACTTGTGGGCCGAAAGAATATTGCTGATATTGGCACCGTAAAAGATGTTTTCGAGAGCAGGCAAGACCTTGACCCAGATATGAGGTCTGTACTCTGCGGGAATGAACCTGTTCCGAGTCAGCTGACACGTTCGTGAACTCGAGATGGGTTCGAGAGAGCTCGAGTTGACCGGTCGATGCCCGCTGAGGTGATTCCCGCAACCTCCGGATCGATCCATTGACTGCGTGTTGCACGTACCTCGCGTTGAAGAAGAAGAGTAACCAGGTCAGGATCGGAAGCACCGGGAGGAAGAATTGCCTCGTAACGGGCATCAGCAGGGCAAGCATGAGTAGAGCTGATGCGCCTGTCTTCACCAACGGACCCGGCGCTTGACTTATCGACAGCGAGAAGATGCTGATGATGATCAGCAGCAAATACTTCGCGTCGTAGTATGACCACCGATGTGTTCTAAGAGCCTTTAACGAGTCGCCGGGGTTGAAGGAGGTTTCGATCGAGGCGATGGCGGAGGCGGGAGACTGAGCAGACCGGAACTTGGAGCGTAACCGGCGGCGGTATCGTCTAGGGATAGGATTCGGTATCGAGGGCCACGCGAAAGGCATCTTGGCTTTCGTGTACATCGTAGGGGAGTATCGAGGGTCTGCCATCGCTGTGCTGTGCTGTGTGCTGTCTATCTGTCTGTCTGTCTGTCTATAGGAGGATGGAGGACGGAAGGGGGAGATTTCCGTGTCCGCCTCTCAGGCTGCTCACAGCAGATGATGCGCGCGGAGGAGAAGACCGAGAGGACGGAGGGTAATAGTGGGTATGACTGTTCGAGAATGCTATGAGCTGCACATGAGTCGATATTTGGCGGGCGACGACGTAGGCGGAGGGGGAGGGGGGGAGCGACGGCGAGGGGGGGGAGAGGGAGGCGGGAGGTGGAAGGTTAAAGGAGGACGAAAACGCGGACGAGGTAAAGAGAAAGAGAGAAGACGGGACGTTCGGATTCGCAAAGGTTTCCGCTGCACTAGACGTAACAAGCCTAGTCCGGTTCGATGGCGGGCGGAGGCGGACGGGAGTGCCAAGGGTCAAGTGCCAAGTGCCAAGGGCCAGAGGCCAAGGGCCCCAGCCACTTTTTAGGACTAGCGAGGGTCACGGTCACGGTCACGGTCACGGGCACGCATGGGCTCACAGCTAGTGGTAGGCAATTTCACTGGAACGGACATGGGAGCTTGTACTAAGTCGTACTACTACATTGTAATAATAGATAGGTAGGTTGTAAGTATTAGATTATCAGATTGTCAGATTGTTAGATTGTCAGATTTTCGGATTGTCGGATTGTCGGATTGTCGGATTGTCAGATTGATCTCCTTGTCAATCATCGGTATGGAGAAACAATCAAGTAGGTTATCATAGTGAGTACCGGTACTCAGTCTGAGTCGAGTCGGGGCCAGGTTTTTGTTTATACATAACCTCGGATGTATCAGTGCTTAGCGAGCGAAGGCATTCTCCATTCTCAAGTGCACACAATCCAGACCATGAAATCATGCACGGCATGACATGACACATGGCCTGCCTGGCTTGGGCCACCGGATCACCAGCATCTTCGTTCAGCAGCTCTAGCATACCAGCTCTCATCATCATCGCCGTCGTCCACGTTGTGCGGCAAACGGTGGGGAGGCGGAGGGCCGAGTTGACGTGGAGCGGAGGCTCTTCCAGGCTGTGCTGTGCAGTGCAATGCGATGATGTGCTATGCTTGTGCGTCTCCTACGTACGAGGCTGCTCTGCTCGCCGGATGACTGACTGACTGACTGACTGACTGACTGACTGACTGAGGGTGACTGACTGACCGACTGACTGGATGACTGACTATCTTCTCAGCTTGCTGC